GGGGGGGGCGAAGAGAAGAATCCTTTACATTTCTCCTCTCTTATCTAAACAAAATTCCAAGTTTTTCTTTCAGATTTGTGTCTATATGTCAGCTATACTGTGTTTTGTGGGGGTTTTTTGTAAGAGAACAAACACCAGAATTTTACTAAGTTCTACTCAGAAAATTACTATAATCTCATTTAGGAAGTAGGAATTCAACACCTTTCACCTTGAATGTTAGTGTCAAGATGAGAAGCCTCTTTGATAATTTGGTGTGTTGTCATGTATGTACATGCTTAAAATACGATTGTTAGGAAAATGTAAATGTCCTGCAGAAGTTTCTGCTGCTGTAAGCAGACATGGACCTTGGCATAAAACAAGCTACTACAATATTAATGCAGTATAAATAAGATGTAATTAATGTATGGCACTGATAGGTAAATATGCTGACGTGAGACAATTTTTTTTTTTTATTACCCCTATGGCTTTTACATCTCCTCCTCTGAAGAAGTGTATAAAGCTCTATCACCTTTCCCAACTCCAGAACTTGGATTTATACCCTACCCTGGGTAGGGTAAGCCGCGATAGCTGGAGACCACCAGGAATGGTATGGTGCTTTCCCAACACTTTTATCTCTCCCCATGTAGCTGGGCTCCTATGGACACATCAGTTGCTTATCTTCAGCTCCCAGTACATCATAAGGTATCCCCCATGGGTTTAGCTTTAGAAGCATGTGCCTTTATCAATTCCTCCCTAGATTACACCAAAATACAATTTAGACTGAGTTTTGAGAAACGTAAATGGGCACAGAGTGCAACAGAAGTACCCTGCACTGAAAAAGGTCACTGGGAGCTTCACAGGTATTTCTTTGTTCTTGAATAGCTGGCAGAGGACCCGACAGAGTTTAAAAGATCTCAGTCCTTATGGCTAAACAATTCATCCATCCTGGACAAGTTCTAACAAGGAGGAAAAAAAAAAAAAATGAAGAAAACCCCCAAACAGTGCTTCAGCCTTGATGGCCCTGAATGTCTTGAAAAGCTATACTTCTCAAAAAAAAAAAAAGCAAGATCACTATCAATATGGAATCTTTGCCTTGAAAGGCAAGACTTTCCTGTAAACAGTTGCAAAACCCCCTCCCATGTAAGACAGAAGCTCCAAGCTAAGCCTCACCAAAAGCAAAAAAAAACACCAACAACCCCAAAAAAATCAAAAAACCCAGAACTTTTTCTATACTGTATGTCATCACTCAGGAAGAAAAAAAATCCCCAAACCTTAATTTATGTACAAAACATACAATTGAGGTTTTTCTAATTAAAATTCAAGCAACTCACATGCTATTCTCCTCTTCTTCTCCCCCCAAAGGAAAGGTGTGTAGAGAGAAATGGAGAGGGAGCCCCATTTGACAGATGCTAGTCTTGTTTTCTAATATTTGTTATCAGTAAGAAGTCTGGAAGACATTCTGATACCGTTGAGATGGGTGTGAAACAGGAACCTATACAGAATGGAATAAATCAGAGTAACTAGTCTGTCATTCTGTCAAAATCCAAGGAGTAAAATTAAGACAAAAATCCTCTTTTTAAAGTGAAGTCAACTGGGAATTTGCAGTCTCTGGTTAAAGCTTTATGATCAGTCCCTCTATGATAGCAGGTTATGTGCACCAACCCCATGGTCCACTGCAGGTAACAACAGAGCTGACAGGATGCCACCATGCTCAGATCAGCCAGAAGGAGATGTGGTTCAATACGTTAGGCTCCACTGGAAACAGTTCCTCCATCTCAGTCCTTTAACCAATACATTGATGCTACTGAACAAGGAGAAGCAGACATTTCTCGAAGCATGTCTATCTCACAAAAAAGAAACATCTACAAAGGTGGTATAGTATGTAACATCCATCTATCTCAAGAGTTTCCTTAGCCAGTAATCTTTCTGAAATGGAAGTCATTAATCCAGGGAAAAAAAAAAAAGAAAAACAAACAAGAGAAAATTGAATACAAATTACTTATTTTCCAGTTTTCAAGTAGTTGGTCTTCAATCCAAGAAGATGTCTGTTTCTGCATCACATGCAAGGTTATTCAGCTGGTCTTTAAACAAACTGCTTGGCAGTAAAACTTTAAGTAACTCCTCTAACGTTCTTCATATCCATCAAACCAGCAATGTCCCATCATAAAGGTCACAAAATTTCAACTTTCTAAGCTTATTCCCTCAACCTCCCCGTTTAATTCCATGATTACTATACAGTTTATTATCCATACTCTTTTACTATTTATTTCTCCTGTATTTTTGGACATTCTTCAAGCCTCAGCTTGCACTTTGTTTCCATGCATAACTACAGTCAATCTTCTGTTGCTCCACATCCCATTCTTAACAACCAAATTCAACATGAAAGCACTACAGTAAAATTAAAACTGAGTTACTCTAGCCCAAGAGTCTTGATCCTTCTACTGCGCTGGCTGCCTAAAGTCAAATTTATCTTAAACTACTTTTAACTGTAGTTTCCAAAAAACTGATAATCCACTGAGTTTTCACAGACATTACCTTTTCATAAACAGAACCAAGGCAATTTAACAGCAAAATAAAAGAATCATTGTAGCAGCTGATGTCCCAAACTCAGTTCTAATCTTAGGCCATTCAACCCCTGCTCAGGCATTTGATCCATCAGTCTGTTCCTGCATTTATTGTTCATTTAAATAGCACCCCCATAATGATACAGTAAGCTGGAGTTTTGTGCAACACGGTTCCCTTCATTTCTACAACATTTGTGATCACATATTCTAAAATCCGACTTGCATTCAGCTCTTCATCAAAGATCACAAATGCAACTCTTCCCTTCCAATAGTACTGTAGTATTTTAATACTAAACAACAAGGTAACAGTCTGGACAATATCTTACTAGTCTACGACAAATACTACTAGTTGCTTGACTAATTTCTCTGCACTAAAAAAAAAAAAAGCAAAAATGCTAACATTTCATTTCTTCAAAGTGAGAAGTCACCACAAAACAGAAAAAGTTCCTTTTTGCCTTTGTCTTTTAGTCTACTTCTTAGAACAATACTCATTATTCACCTTGGCATGGACCACCCAGTCCAGCCTCCTACTCAAAGCAGGCTCAACAACGAATTGCGACCAGGGCTTTCTGTGTCTTGGCCAGTCAGGTCTTGAAAACCTCCACAGACAGAGGTTTGACAGCCTCCCTGGGCAACCTCTTCCAGTGATGGACTGTGCTCACAGTGATAGGTTTTTTCCTTACATCAAATCAGCACCATTTTACTTTGTGTTCCTAAGGAAACTACAAATACACAATCAAATTAAATATGAAGCTGGCATGGAGCTGGAGCAAGAAGATGCACAAATGTACCTTCCATGTACAGACAAATACATCCAGCAAAATCTGACAGTAAACTAGATAATGCGGCATTTCTAGAGATTTCACAAAAACAGGCAGCTAGAGAGAAACCCTATTAGAACACCCACAGAGGAAAAAGGTTGCAATGTAATCCTTTTTAGACACCAGGTAATCTACACAGAAGCCAGATCTCCAGACATGTTCCTTGGAAGCTGGCCTTCACTAGTCTCTTGCTCATAGAACCGCTTATAGTAAGGAAATTATGAAAGGCTTATGGAACTTTGTCCTTTCATATTATCTGCTTTGGAAATTCAATCAATCATTCTTAGTTTTTATAAGTTTTTATCCAGTAAACTGTCATTAGTAACTGTGGAAGAGATTTTTATAAAGACTTTGAGGTTCTGAGTGGGTAGTATTTTTAAATGTTTGTTTTACCAACTTGTATTTCAGTGGTTATCAGAGTTGACAAGCATCAACAAAGTATTCTTTATTTTCATTTTAGTAAACTCATTATAAGTTGCTAATACAATATTAGTTGAGAAAACAGTAATAACTGCTTCATTCCTGAAAATGAAATGAGAGCATGTGATCTACTAATTCTCAGAATCTAAAGGACAAGAACACTGAATGGCAAAGACAGCAGCTGCAAGGACAGGGACACTGAGAAACTGCCTTAGAAGAATGCAAGTTCAGCTTGGCCATGATGAATTTTACTCTCATCAATCTTGTTCTGTTTCTGATAAGCTTACAAGCCATCCAATAAGTCATACCTGGATATCTGCTCAACTGCATAGTACACGGACGGTTCTGTTCCCTGGACTCTTTAGCTGTGCCTTCTGAGAGACCTAACCAGACTTAAGAGTACGTTGGCACCATCAAAGCTTATCCAGCCTTTGGCAGAAGAGGGAAGAAATGCACATAGCTTCCTATCAACGTCTCTAGGTGTTTTAGCAGCTTTGAAAGATTTGATTCCTGGAAAGAAAAATAGTCAATTGATTAGAATGGATACTATTCTTGTTTACTATCTCATTTGTTGTAAATGAGACTTAAGCTGACTACAGAAAAAAACCCCAGATTAATAAAACTTACTAAGAGTAGTTCCAGTCAACAAAATAATGCTACTTTGTCTTAAATTCCAATTTCTATCCAAGTGCAACTTGATAGAAATCCTAGGTAAAAAAAGAAATTAAGCTTTTGTTTGTGCAACTAAATCAGAAACCTTTAGGGGTCTCAAATTACAGATCCCTTATAGTCATAATGATTTTGCTCTTGGCTATAAATCACATACCCGCTAAAGCAGTCATCTAATCCAACAAAAATATGGCCATCATTCAATACTTGCTAACACAGTAAAAAGCATTAAGGTATGTGATTACATAGATAAAGACACAGCACATCAACCTGCATTTTAGCTAAGAAGTCAAATCACAGCAAACTACGGTTTAAATAACTACTGTGATGTTTCGTCAGCACACCATCAAGTTATCCAAGACTAGTTAGAAGATAAGAAGGGATGATACCATTCAAACTCATGAAGCCTTCCTAGAGCACTCTGGTAACACACACAGCTTGACTCCCCTGGGGATCAGCATTGGCCAGAAACTGAAGCCAGAAAGACCCAAGCACATTCTAGATGACTTGAGCATCTGGGTGGAGCCTACCCAAATCCTGCAGGACTCATCAGCCCCAGGTGGATGTGAGCAGAAGAGCCACCCACCAAGCCCAGCTGCTCTACGGAAGAAGTACAACTGCATTTGTACTGCACTCGTCAGCCTGATACAACTCAAAGACATTCCACACAGATGCACAGGACAGTCCACAGCACAGATAACCCACATCCTGAATAATTCAGCAAGGGGACAGAACTGAAAAAAAATAAGGCTGTGCTACAAGTTTCAGCAGAAGGACTGAAGTCTTTAAACACAAGCCAGCAATACCAGTGTTCAACAAGACTTAACCCAAATCGAGGTGTTCCCACAGTGGTAAAACACAAGGCATTATAAAACTGCTTTTGTGTGCTCTTCGTTGTGTCTTAAGATTTGCTATTTTTTGGGGGGGGGGGGGGGGTTTTGGGGTTTTTTTTTTGGTTGGTGTTTTTGTTGTTGTTGTTGTTTTTTTGTTTTTTTTTTTCCACAAAACTTTCATGAAATGAACAATTAGAATTACAGGTCTTATTACAACTTATAATACAGTATATTTATTACACACAGTTTGTCTATATTCAGCTCTTAAGAAATCCCTTTTTCTTGTTCAAAATTAAACTGGAAGCTTATTAAGAAGAGCACTAAGTTTTCTAGAATACAGATTGGATTGGGGATCCCAAGAGTGAGTCTTCATAAAAACTTCACTATAAGTCTTCAAAACTTTTAGGGGTTCAAACATGTATTTTTGATAACAGAAAAATGTTAAGGAAAACAACCAATTGCTCCCCCAATAGTTTACCCGTCAGAACTTAAGTATTTATCAGTTGAGAGGGAGTTGTTCATAATTTTGGCAGCGCAGAACTATGAACCGTTGCAGCAAAAGTCAAATACCTATTTTTGAATCCATTTACAAATCAGGTCAAAAAGAACTTCCCACTATTTGCTTTGAAGCACAAGGCAAGCATATTCAAATGGTTTTAATGATTTGCATTATACTGGTTATATTTACATTATTCATAATTTTTTTTCCAAAAATGTATGCACCGGTGAAGTACCACAAGAATATTTAATGTAATTTTGCATGCCATTAACATTTTAGTTCTCATTTCGCATGCATACCACTCCCATGCATGCTACAGTTTTCCATGAACTGTTTCAAACAGCCGTATTGTCTGGAAGTAATTAAGACTTTTCATCCACACTTTGAGGCAACCTGTTAGGTTGGTGTCTTAGAACACATACTCCGTCACTTAAGCACTGACGGAAATCGGGGGGGAAAAAAAAAGCGGTCCTCAACAGCCGGCAGTACACAGTAATCGCGAAGCAGCGAGCCTTCCCCGTGTTAAAACCTCTCATTAGGCTAATTTCTACTTCCGATCGTGGGCAAACCCGGAACACCCGCCTGCGCTGCGGGCCGGGGAGAGGGGGGCGATTCCCACGCAAGCCCACGAGGGACGGGAACGCGGAGGGCATCGCCGGGGCTTAGCGAAGTCGGCGGGAGCGCCCCGCAAGGCACCGACGGCCACT